CCTACACCACCTCCTGGCCCGAAGGAGGGCATCGTTGCTGGCAGCTCACACAGGGCATGGCCAGCCTGTGGGAAACCTTGCTAGGTCAGGTACCTCACCCTGCCCGAACACCCAACCCAGGTGACTAGAGAGCCACATGAGTTTAATGAACCCAGGATAACCATCAGGAATCCCCGTGGCCCCGTCGAGTAAGTGCTGGAGTGCTACTAACAGGGTGGGTGGTTCCAGTCCACCTGCGGCTGTGAGGGAGAAAGATGAGGCAAACACGCGTGGGTGCCTCCTGTAACAAATGCCCCTCCATAGCAGGTGCTAACGTGGCGCGGCCACCAGAAAGCAGGCACCTGCGGAGTGACCAATGCGCCTCATCAGGATACTGTCCATGAAAATAGTGAGGCGCACACAGTATGCTAGTTCAGAGATTTAAGGGGGGTGTTGGGCGGGGACAAAGGATACCTCAGGATATTTGTACACCCATAGAACATCTCTGGAAGGATGCAAAAGACAGTCACTGAGAACTAGGCAGCTGGGGACCCCGGTGGGAAGGAGACTTCCTTTTCAGTGTACCCTTTACTGGTGGCTTCGTGAGTACATATTATCTATTAAAATGTCAATGCAAAGAAGACCCTCCCTTCTCTGAAGACACTTAGAGGGAAGGTTGAGCCACAATGAGGATGCCATATGCTGATTGCTATCATTGAGCACTATATGGGGTGGCAAGCAGGTCGAGGAGAGAGTGCACATAAGCCAGTCAGCTCGGGAAGGTGGAAGAACAGGGGGGGTGATTGCGGGCAAGGTGAGAGGGCTGCGAGTGAGCGCAGGCTCTGGCGGAGCAGGCAGAGGCCAGCACCAACGGGAACTGCCCTCTGCGCCGCGCTAAGGCGTTTAGATTTTCTCCTTATTGGAAAAGGGCAGCTCTGGAAGGATTTTCAGCAGGGGAATGACCTGTTCAGATTCGAGGTTTAGAGAGGTGACTTTGGCAGGACTGTGGAGGAGAGATGACGGGCAGGGGGGCTTGGTGGGAGGTTAAAGCAATCATGGAGATGAGAGGAGTGGGGAGAGGCAGGCCGTCCACAGAGCTCGGATATGGGTCTGGTGCCTGTGTGCAGATGCCCCACGGGCAGAGCCTGCCTCGGCTGCTCCCCCTTTCTCACACTGGTGTCTGTCCTCTGCACACTCAGGGCCCCAAAGGCCCCCCAACAGCTGGCAGGCTGGGCCTAGGGAGGGCATGTTTCCCTGCATCAGAGGACAAGGGAATAGCAGATGCGCACTC